CACAATCCAGTCCCCTCGAATTCGATGATCCAGAGTGGAATGTAACAGCGACAATTTTATTTTCTCCTCTCTGACTTGGGAATACAATCTCTTGTTTATCTTAGTGGTTATCTTTCAAATGGGAATTCGTCGTGTATATAGCAAATGAAGCGTGAACTGAAAAGCTCGGAAACACTGGACAGCTGTTTCGACCTGGTTGGGTCTCATCAGCAGTGCGAATCCATCGACCCGACTGGGGATCGAACCCGGGACTTCATGGGCAGAACGCAATCGTGCTACCCAATACGCCGGTTATCGTTTGTGCAGTTTGTAGCATGTTTCGTTCGCCTTATAGTCATGAATTACAGCTTGGGTGGATACACGACGCCTACTCTGGAATTTGCATCGAAAACAGTCATGCGAATAGTGTTGATAACAACGAAAAAAGGAGCACTTTTTAAATGCATCGATACATTTCAAAACTGAGAGCAGTTTAAATCTTCTCACACACTGATACATAGGTCCTTCTCACTTAAATCATGTACCACATGATGGTTAGGTGTGCGCTGTGCAAAAGAGTGGGCGGCGTCTGTGCTCGGGTTCGAATCCCACCGAGACTGCGGAACTTTTCGCCGTTTCACCATGATATTTTTTGTCTGTCTACCTTTTTCCACCGTGTGCAAGCAGCGGCCTGAATGTCAATGAGCAACCCTAAGATTGTTACCAGTTTCCGAGATCATGCATTTTCAAATTTTTGAGCTGAAATAACTAACTAACTTACTAATCTGTCGTCCGCGCAGTGTTTGATGAGGTTCGAATAAACCTGACTACAGTTTGGGCGTGATCTTGATAGGGGATGAGCAACGGGGTGTACAAAAGAGATAAACGAGCGACCAATCAGAGGCCGTCAGTTGTAATCGACTTTGTCCGGACGGGAACGTTTAGCTAACCAAATACGGTCTTTTAAAATTGGGCCTGGGGGTGGAGTGAAATTTTACACTTTGTACCGAGAGCTTCCATTTATTCTACTTCGTATGAACGAACATGTGCTCGTCTGTCCTCGGACCCCTCAGTTTCTCGGACGAACAGAGAATAATACTCCGTCACTGGTGCGAAAGATTCCGAATTTGGTGGTAGAGAAACGTGGAAAATAGTACCATTTCACAAGCTGTCTACAGATAGTGTCTTGTCTATGTTACGTGATCTTGATGAGCATTCGTTTACGGGAAAGTAGTCCTCGGTAAATATCAGTTTAAAAGTTGCTCTCTTCATACTGAAAGGAACCAAATTGAGGATTAGTACTGTATGAGCCATCATAACTAATTAATTTTCCGTAGTCTACTTTGAAAATTTGTGAATTTAGTTTGAACTTGATAAGCTCATGAACTTGTTGTGATAGTTGAATTCCGCCATGGACACGGCCCATGTTATCGGATAACTGCGCCTTCTTAGCTACGAGAGCACAGTTCAATCTGTGAAAGTTTTATTCTTGTTACTGGGTAATTTGGAAACAACATTCGGTCTTCGGGTAAGCATGAATTTCTACGGAGCAGGTCACCCCGGACAGCTCNCTCCACTCTATTTTGACCACCTGTACGAACAACAGGAACTTCAATATTTGATATACAGTCTGTCTAACCCGGTAGACTTTCGTTGAGATCAATCAAAATTTAGTGATCGATCTCCATAAATGGATCACGGCAAAAATGTTGTTTTTTTCATTCACAATTATCCCTTTGAGTTAGTACTTTCAACCGCTCTCAGTAGCGAAAATCGCATCCTACTGCTTTGACATTTGACAAGAGCAAAATAACGTAAATTCTGCACACGCGGCTTTGGTGGATGCCTGTGGTTCAACAAAATTGTATTCCCTATGTCCCTTTCACAGAAATTATGTGCGAAAAAAGTGCAGTCAATTAGAAAGCAATACATGTATTTAACTTAATGGAACCCAGTTGTACGGTGTTTCCTTGGCATTCAGCTCGCGCTTTAGGCGCGAAAAGAAATTTCCAAAAATAATTTTTTGGTCATGTAACGAAACAGATTTATTCCCTTTTTCTGCCCCTAAAAATGTTTAAAAATTACTGATGTGGGATTAGTAACCGACAGTGGCATTTACTGGTATAATTTTGGTACAATTATTCACGTGACCTTCTAACCACCTTCGCCCTGATTGGTGAATTGAACAATAACCAATAAACTGAATCGTTGTGGAAGTAACCAATCACAATGAACTACCGTACTCAGCCGGATTATAAAAAGGGACCGAGAAGAGCAGCGGATCAAAAGCTCAGGGTGACAATCCATCAATATGACTAGGGGCAACTTGCATTTCTCTCCCATGGTCTGTCTATTGGTCCTGATCAGTTTTCTCGCAATCGGTAAGCATTGCTTACCACCACGCGCCCGAAACGCAATTGTCTTTGTTGTATGCGTTAATTTGCTCAAATCTACTCATAGAAAAAAGTTTCAGGGGAAATTAAATCTGTAGCACAGTATGATTGTTGCTTAGCTGAAGACTAATTGTAAAGGGTTAGATTGAACTGAAGTTCGTTTTCACATGCAACACAAATTAATAGATTTCAATCATGAATTACCACTAGTATGATTTTTATATGTTCATTTTTTCCTTCCTGCACGCCAGTTCTTCAATCGGTTGCTGGACAAAGTGAGTTTGCACACACACACACACACACACACACACACACACACACACACACTTCAGGCTCATATATGTGTACTGTCACCTTCCTGTCCCTGATACTTTCCCTGTTCCACCCCTATAGTCCCTTGTTGCTCCGGCGCCACTGGTGAACCAGAATGTCTCAGTAAGTATCTGTAATTCGTGATTGGAATAATGTAAAAATATCCGCCCCGCCCCCCTCTCCCCAAACGGGATCGGATTTAGTCCTCTTCGTAGTTCTATCTGATCATAGGAGATTCGAATGACAGGTCAACAGCACATGATCCTAGTGTGTTTCGTTTCATTCTTTGCTTTATTCTATCACGATTTGAACTGTGCTTTTCACAAACGATACACGATCAGATGGTTACATAGCTTCGGATAGAGAGAAACATGATTGAGTAGCAGAAGTTAGCAGTATTTTTGTTCAAATGGATATCAGTCCAGATTGAATAATGATTATGCACAAATTTCATCTCTTTACCCCCAATTACGTTTTAGCCTGTTGCAAATGTGGTAAGTTTTTATACCGTTAAAGAAAGAGAAATCTGATTGGGATGCTTAGGAAATCCTTTTGTTTGTTGCATCCTGCAGCCGAGTGTGCAAATCTGCGTTTAACATGAGCGTCGCCTAGCAACATCTCTATAACATAGCTGAATTCGATGAACAGTAGAGTAAGTGATCACGTGAATCTACTGCTCACTGATGGGCGCCGGGAATATCCTGGCCCCGGAAACTCAGAAGAGAGAACGGAATTACCCGGACAAGTGAGCCGCTCAGCACCAAAGTTGAATAGCTCTGATTGGGTTCGAATCTTGGTTCTTAAGGCCCAAAATGTTGCATGACTGGAATATTGGATTTTCGAAAGACATTTGTTGGGTTAGAAAGCCTAACAGTGTCATAGGTCACAAACAAAAGTGTAATCTGTATAACTGTATACTTGAATCGGTGGGTTGTTCGGAAACGTTTCGTTCCGTCGGAAGAAAATGGAGGTAATTTCATAGGATCATCAAATGTGAAAATCTATGAAATGCTTAGAACGTTAGACAAAACAATGTCAGTACAAATCATAGCACTGACATTACACAATCATTTTTCTATTTCATGTACCACATTGTCACTAGTCTCAGATACCACAAAGTCCAATCTGCAGATTTAGCCCGATCACATGTCGTTTCAAAGTCAAATCGTCGTTGTTTTTCTTTCGACGCAAGAAGCATTCGTCATATATGATGCAGAAGCTATGATCGATCCCATCCAGCTAATTATCCAGCTGCAAACCACCCGCTTCCTGTCATTATTATACAGATCCGAGTTAACTAAATGCAGCTCGCCAGTCGCACATTGACCTATTCACGTCACCATAATCGATCTATCCTTTTGTCTGTTCGACACGGTCATTTCGATGGGATCTCGGTCAAACAATCTTCAATATCCAATGAGGGTCCACCGAAGAGCAATTTTACTTCCTCATGAATAGTCCCTTCTAGAGGATAAGTCACCTTCTTCGATTTCTTCAACGGGAGCTTTGAATGTGTGATCAACCACGGTTCCATAACCGGACTCTATTGATCGAGTATGGCGTGTTAGACACTGCACACCCAACTTCACCGTGTTCGTTTGTTTTAATCGGTCGCATTAATCTATACACCCATGACAGAAGAAACACAAGGCTGTAATATTAACTACCGTCCCTCCCCAGGCACTGAAGTCATTGCATAACCTTGCAGACAAAATGCAGCAAACTGCTCAATATCTAACTGAGGCACCTTGCAATCATCTCGAGGACCCATACTCTGATTCAGCCTGTCTGTTAAGCAGCTCACCGGGATATGATGTTTGCTGTTCAATGCAAAGCAGACTTTCAAAGCAACAGATAATGGCAAACAATTGTCAAGTGAAGATTAGACACCAGAGAGATAAATCACCAGGATACATGAAACCTTCCAATTTGAGGAATTGTTCCTCTGTGTCACTTCGCGTAGCTTATCTTACTATTCAGGCTGATATGATGTGCACCTGCGCTCTATTCAACGTCCATTCGGTGGTAATCATGTCTAGTTTTAATTTTCCCAACAATGAATGTATAAATTTGGGTTTAGAGCCTAGTTGGAGTGACATTATTCGATCCAGATAATTATAATTAAAAAGATAACCGTGTTCTGCAGTGATACATTTCTGAACTTATATTTGCCCTGAAAAAGTGTTGACCATCTGTCGATACAAGACATAAAAAAATCATTGAATGATTATTAGCTTTCTCCACGATTGATCATTTTTTCCCCAAACTTTTTTTCATTCACTTCAAGTGCGATTCCGGAAACAGTTCGTCAATTCAATGTTCAGTGAGTTAGTTACATGACTCTTGTTGTATTTGGTTTTTATGTGTGTATGAGATGTCTCTGTCTCAAGCCCCGGTAACTGCTTCAGTCGATGAGTCTTTCACTTGTCACTGATCACGCTTTACTTTCATTTTATTTTTTTCCAGCTTACTACGCAAGTCAAGCTCCAAAACTGACCTCACTGACCTACGTCTACAGTAAGTTTTCACTGTCCTCTCGCAAAACGCACACGCACGCACGCACGCGCGCACTTGATTGCGCACGCACCAGGTTGATACTTTGTAAAATTGTTAGGGCCCACCAGAAACTGTTCTCAACCGACAAACGCTATCCGGAAGTTTGGTCTCATAAATCTAGACAGGTTCCCATTGGAAGCAACAGTACCGGTGTCAGCTTATACCAGTATAACTGTTAATCCCCGTAACTAAATTGTTTCATGACCATATGTAGAAGGAATATATGCAGATATGTGCATGATACACCTTGTACCTTGTCCTTGTGGTATAACCGGTAACGAGAAGCTGTCCACTATGCAATAGTTTTCCTAACAATCTATGGTTACTAGAATAAAAGAGATAAACATGTGATATTGTTAATTGTTGTTCTTGGGGCTCGAACCCCCTCCCCCTCCGCTTTTCATGGATTCTATTCGTGGCCCTAAAAATAGCAAACATAACCACAGCTTCTAAAACAATAGTGATATATAAAGAATTCATAAAATAGAAACAGAAATTTAGTCAGTCGGTCTATCGCTTGGTCGCTTGGTCGTCGTATATCTCTATTTGACGTATTTTTTACCCTTACCTCTAATTTCAGCTCAATATCCCAAACAACAAATTGTGCAAACCACATTCACCGAAAATTTGCGTAAGTGACACTTGGTTCCAATCTGATATTTCTCGGTTCTTTTTAAATCGTTCGAACATAAATTTCCCACATCATCCAATCGCCAAATTGTGTTTCATTTTTTTCCTTTTTCGACAGTATCCTACTACACGAAACCACCGATACTGGAAGTTATCGACCAGAAATTCAGTACGTCCATGTCAGGAATGTTTTACTGGCACAATAGATAGTTGTTATATCCCATGACAGAATTCAAAATCTATCTGTGTGTTGTTGCTGTTGTTACAGTTATCAAGTCAGATTGATGTGGATTGTGTTCAGAGTCCAAAACGACGAGATTCTACTTTAAAACTTACATTGCCTAGATATGTAACCCTTCGTTGATCAGCCAAGTACATTGTCAAATGTTTCAACGATCAATTGTCAGGAAAATTTCACGATCAGTTGCCATCAGAAAGCACTTATTCATCTTGTTTTTGTGGCTTGAGGAAAACGCAAATATGGACATCATCAACCTCTCCTCAAATGGTAAACCAACAACCGCAAGAGTCGGTAGAGTCCTGGCTACCACAGGTGGTCGCAAAGTCGTATGTGCGTTCTCAATAGTTCCTGTTATTCAATACTGAAAGAAGCATGGATCGCCTAGGTCAACCTCGTCAATGATCATTTAGCAACTCAAATGCACATATAGTTTTGCACACACACACACACACACACGTGACAGCTACCTAACCCCGTGTGTAAAAGAACATCACTCAATGTGTCTCGAAGACATCTCCTATTCGAGCAATATGAATTTGGTAAAGGATGGATTTTTCAGTTTGCCGGGTATCGTGACAGATTCGAGACTATCAAGTCCCTGCCCGGTTCTATCCCTGTCCCTGTCACCTGCCCTTCTCCCTTCCCGCTCTCACATGCCCCGCACACGCACATACTGCGTGTGATTTTCTCCTCGTCGAAAGCTGATTATCATCCTTCACGGTTGTGAAAGATAGATTAAGTAGGAAATTTTTTGATTTGAGAGAACACATGATGAAAACCGTTGTCAGACTGTTCGCTTTTTGTCGTGTACCTCCTGACCGCAAAACGATCGCCTCGGTGGACCTCAATTCTGTTTATCCTTATCTTTTTCCAGCTGAATACGTTACCCCCACACCTCAAGAAGGAGAAGTCATCGAAAAAATTAGTAAGTTCTCAGTACTAAAGACTGCGTTTTAACAGTTTTCTCTTATTTCCACTGAATCAGCTGGCTAACTAGCATCCTAGACAATCGGGACATTTTTGGCCCTATTCTACACTCACAAAGGCTGGTGACCTTGTGATTATTTTGCGCACATCAGTTACATTGCATTATAGCGAAAAATGTGAAGCTTCCGGCCAAACTGCTTGCAAACTGATTCAGGCTCAGTTTTTGTACACTGGCGTATCCACCTAGCTATAAAAGTTACACAATTCACGGAACCCACCTTCCGCGCACTGTTTGCCTAAAGTTGATTGTAGTACCTGACTACTTTTAATTTCGTAAGTAGTTCAAAAGTAATTTCTGAATTACGCCAGGTTCAATGGAAATGAAATCATGTTACTTGCAAGACCATAATGAAACACACAACCACATTCCAGTGTACTATACACACAACTGGTTGCATTCCATAGCCAAATTAGATGCGTTTCTTTTATTTTGTGCCCCATTCTCCTGTTCTCAGTGCCTAAAAAACGAGTCGTAATTGTCAGAGTGATACATATATAGTGATAAGCTGAGCGAGGTTGGTTGACTGTAGATTATACAGTAGATTATACTTTATCAAACATGAAACAATTGAAGATATTTTGCTGCCCGATATTCAAACAACCAATTCGATGAATTCTTGTCCATAAGATTCCAGAGCGAAAAATCTGCTGGATATTGGTTAATTCGTACAGTTGATCAGGCCAAACAAGGTTTAAACAACCAAACCACAGTACTTTACCGCTTTTCAGTTCATGCTATTTCCATCTGTCTACAAGTAAACAAATCAGTTTTTTATCTGACGATTCATACAGTAAGTATGTATTATAACTAACTTAATCACATCTGTCTTTTCTAAATGATTACAGCCTACTATGTGACCCCGAAACCTGAGCAAGGGTCCCTCAATATTGGTGCATGTAAGTCACTCGTCAGTGAAATTATCTTATCTTACATTCGTCTCATTTTCTATACTTTTCAAACAGATTTACAGTGAGTAGTCAGAATTGAAGTAGGTGGCAATCGGGATAATTTGTGAGATGATAACAATTCTAGAATTTCACAAGAGAGCAGCTTCAATGAGAGGTGATTTATGCTACTCCCAAATGTTCAACAATCAATATAGTTCCGTCTCACATGATTACGGGATCCAGCCAAGCAGTTACGTCAGTTTACTGATAGCTTTATGCACCCAGACAGATCTCACAGAAGGGCGAAATAGTGACGCAAACTGAAAAGAGTGCTGATCCGACTTCACTGGTAATCACTGGTAATAAAATAGACCATCTTTAACAAGCATAGCGCGTTTGTCCAACTGTGAAAGACAAATGGGAGATACGTGCATAGATCCGACGCTGGATGGATTAAAACTGATTTACAAAGACTAGACAATTGTGTGAATGAAAACTATCAACCATGTTTATAATGCCACATATCTGCTTTATCTCTCACCTTGTCCTCCTCCCGCCTCCCGACCTCAGCTAAGCTTCTCTGCTCAAACTTCTCTCTCTCGCTCGTCCATTTTTAGCAAACTACGTCACAAGCGCACCCACAGTTCAAGTAGTTCATGAACGATTCAGTAAGTTTATTTCTGTAAATTCAAAGAGTGCTTATTAATTATTATTATTTCAATAATCATATTTCCTCTAAACTTGCGCAGATAAACTGCAATAGTAATTGGAGTGTTGTGTGTAAAATGAACTCTCTATGTTGCACGATAATAGAGGCCATCAACAACAACGATTTTTTTCTCTACTTTTCTCCGATTATTTTAGCCGAATTCTTTAGCGTCGCCCCAATCACACATATTTTCACTATCANCCCCCCAGGAACTGGATAGCTCCAATCATTTATGGATTGTTCCGCGTGTTCTTCTTTATTTCAGCTTATTACGTCAGTCAAGCGCTCACCAAGCTACAGGTCCCAGTCAAAATAAGTACGTTTATTCCGTCGGTATTCTAACTTGTCCGTTTATGTAAAAGTTATATATTTCTCGACTGTAATTTGTCCATCACCACCACGTAATCATGGTATAAAAAATTGTATACGGACACAATTCACGTGACTGCTTGTTTGGAATTGTATCTAACCTGCTCTCCCCCACCTCTTCCTCGTCCCNTCCACATTCTCACAGCTCAATATGTGACCGATGCACCGAAATTGGAAATCATATCCAAGATTTACAGTAAGTTGCTACTCGTTAATAATCCTATTGTAATTTATCAAAAGGGCATGGAAAACTTTTGTTGCAAAACACTTATTCCTAGACTGTGAAATGGACGTTTAAGATAACAATATGTATATACCTACTATGGTTAAGATATAAACATTTTTGTCAGCTGATCGTTCCAACGGTGGTTTTTGAATCCCGCACCCTAATTAATGATCATTTTGAAAGATTCATTCCTCCAGGCAATCCCAGACTGGCCGATTTTCCATTTCAGAAAAATGCGGGAATATCCATTCAGTAGAAAACTTGTGGAGAATAGATAATAAACTGGTTTCAGTCGGAGCAATTTGCATTTGATTGCTGAGAATAATTCTTATCCCACCCTCTGGGGGGGGCTTATGTTCTTATCATAATTGGATGATGTGGAAACTCTATTTTAAAATGCACCCAGCAATGAAATATATGTGAAGAAAATCCTTTTCTCAGTAAATGTTATTTGAATACTGACTAACCATTATGTTCCTCGGGCTACATACGCATCGTCAAACTGGTTCAATTCCCTCTGTTTTTCAGCTGCCTTTGCAACTCAACCAGTGATCCCACAAGTTACGCAAGCCGTCTTCAGTGAGTAATCCTGTCCGATTGATTGAAAGTGTACAGATGCCACAATTAATTCTATATCACAAATGTTTTTTTAACTTAAAAGACTAATTTCGATGAACAAGTAGGCACAGGTTATTATTATTATTATTATTATTAACTGGGTAATTTTTGTTGAGAATAGGTATGGTGCTACCCGATCGAAACTTCTATCTATCTCCCGGATAGTTTCGATGATAAATATGAAATCATCTTGCAGCGCGACTCGAGTTGTGAGGTTTTTTTCGCATTCGTACGGCTGATAAAAGCGTTTTCCCCCGCTGCACCCTCATTCGGCTGAAACAAACCGACAATGTGCTGAAATGTCGAAATATTGACGTTTTTATGTCTCATTGAAGTAAAAAAACAGAATCTTCTTCAAACCGATTGCCGAATAAACTGTGCAGTGGTGTAGCCATCCAATTCCAAAGCTGGAAATTGATCGGTCTGAACAATTCAGTTGACATGGGGTAGTTTAAACCTAGCTGTGGTGCAAACAACACCAAGCCCCTATCTCTTTCTCCCTCTCCGTTCCCTGTATATGTGCATCTTTCATTGTGTGTTGGCGGCATAAGACACAGACAGTTGTAGACTACTCTTATGACATTTATTGCTGCCTGCTAAATCAAAGCTTCCACATTGTACAATGATTCCTTGCAAAACATGTCTTTGCAAAGCATAGATGATTATTAATGCACTCCTACACTGTGTATGTTTTTTTATAAAGAAATTTGGCTAGTTCATCCCATTTGAATCAATCCACCTCAGTCCCTGCTCAAACCGTATTATTTTTCAGCTTCTCTGACAACTGAGGCTCCGGTGAAAAAGACTTACTCGCTTGTCTTCAGTAAGTGTGCACTCCGTTTGCTATTGATGCTGAAATTGAAACTAATAGAAATGCACTCTGACTGTCCAATCTCCAATCTCGTTCACTCCTTCATCTTTTCCAGCCGAATACATTCAAAAATGCCCAGTTCGAAAAGAAACTGT